CTCTTTATGTTATCCCATATTTCTTGGATGTTCTGCTCATGGTTTCTTAGCAGTCTTGCTGAGCTGTCTATGTTCTTTTCAAGTTGAAATACTTTGTCTTCATTGTCTGATGTTCTATTTTCTAAGTGTTCTACTCTGCTGGTAGTATTCTCATTTGAATTTTTAATTTGGTTTATTGCTTCCTGCATGTCTAGGATTTCTGTTTGTTTGTTTTTTATAACCTCTATCTCCCTGTATAGTTGATCTTTTGCTTCTTGGATTTGTTTATGTAATTCATTGTCGAAGTGATCTTTCATTGTCTGATTTTGTTGTCTAATGTCTTCCTTGAGACTCCAAATCATCTGAAGCATGTATATCCTGAATTCTTTATCTGACATTCCATCTGCTGCAGATATTACCTCTTCTAAAATTGAGTTGACCTGCATTGCTTGTGGTCCTTTCTTTCCTTGTCTTTTCATACTGCTCACATTTCTTTCTGCTTGGTGAAACTGTTGTGTTATTGAATTTTCCCCCTATATATTTATATTGCTCTTGTATAGTTGCAATGTCTCCCTTTTGTAGATAAAGACAATGTTAACAGTTCTCAATATCAATAGAACATCATCTAAGCACATGTTTTCCTTATTACTACATTTATAGCTAGACTCTATGTCTACAAATGTTGGTTTCGATTATCATTTACAAATACAGTCATTAGTTTCATGAAAGGCATACCATTTCTGGTAGCTTGAAGAAAACTGGATTTCAGGTGTAGAATGTTATGTTTATGGGGAAAGGAGTGAGGGTATGGGGTTAATCTAACTTAGTAACTTTGGAGAGCTCTAACCAATAGATGGGTAATTTATGGAAGAATGTATAGATTCAAATTCCTATCTGTATTTATAAGATTACCCTACTTATGAATAGTATAATTTAGGGGGTTGCAAGTGGGATAGAGGATGTAAGAGGGAGGAAAACAGATAACAAGGAAAGGAAGAGAAAAAAGAGAGCGCAAAAAAGAAAATACGAGAAAAAAGAAAAGGAATAAAAAGGGGGAAGGGAGGTGGGGCATATGCAATTCCTCTATAGTATATTATTCTGGTGATTCAGTTGTTAAAGATCTTTTTCATGTACAATTTTTGGTTTCACATATGTTGAGGTTGCGAAGACCCGAGGGGGAAGGGTAGATTAGACTGGGTGAATGGCTGAAAAGAGAGAGAAGAGAGAAAAAGAAAGAAAAAAAAAAAAAATGTCTCTCAGAACTCTGTTTTCATTTCTTCCAGTTGGTGGCGTTGTGTATTCCTAGCTTGAGTCTCTGGGTTCAGGATGGTGGTGGTAGTCAGTGTGAGAGGACTTGAGCTTCCACCTGTGGCCTCTCTACTCTTATTCTCTGAGATATAAACCAGGTGCCTGATCCGCTGCAGAACCGCACTGGTAGCCACGCCAGTCAACCGGTTGGTGGGTTTTAAGGGTTGGTGGGATTTTCCAAGATGAGTTCCATCAGTTTTTCTCATAAGGTGTTTGATGAGGTGGGGGTGTTGGGGAAACCTTATGTTTGTCAAGAGCTCGGTCAGGTGACCGCACGGGCGGGCGGCAGGGCCCCTCCTCCAGTTGAAGTGGTCTGTCTACCTCACTGGGTGGAGGCTGGGCTCCTCCAACTGGGGAGGTCTGTCTACCGCTCTGGTGAGTCGCTGGGCCTGTTCTCCAGGTCGCAGGTCTGCCTATCTTGCAGGCGCCTAATGTTTTAGATTCTAAGCTCTCAAAGAATATGACATATTAATAGTCCAGCTTGGTGAAGCAGTAAACTAGCAAATGCCTAAGTACTCTGTTAGGTGCAATAAAAGAAATAACTCAGTGTGCATGGCCTATACATACTAACTGCAGATATTAAAAAGTGATGTTTTTTAACAATATGTGGTATTTTTGTTATTCATTGAATGATTTACCTTTCAGTGCTGGTAAATGAGATTGGCACTCACACATTGGAGTCTGTACTTTCTGGAAAGCAATCTGGCATTACAACATTTAAATGATACATTTATCACTGATTTCAGGGCATGTCCACAGCCTGTGTATTAGTAGACTAAAAGAAAAATATATAAAGATGATTTTATTGATGGATAATGGGATTTTATTTCTTCTATATACTTGCAAATTTTCTATTAATGTATGTATAGCAGTTAACAGGATTTCTTTATTACACAGCAATTCAAAACCAAGTCTCACTCATTACTACTTGTAACTTTGGAAAGGTTCCTAAAGTATTGTCTCATATATGAAACAGTCACAGTTTTATATGGTGCATACTTGGTAACTAAGTGCATAGGTATCTTTATTATATTCAGAAAAGTATTATTAAAAAAAAACTTCAGCTGGTGAATGCTATGGTATATTAACAGTCCTGATAAATTTAACTTCACTTAAATGTCCACTTTTAATAGTCAAATTCCTGAAGAAAATGCTATTCATAAGAGTATGTTTAATTGGAAAAGCACTTATTTCCATTTAAGTTCAGGCAATTATTCTCCACAGAAGATAGACAAACTAATGCCCCATGAAGCACCATCAGGTACTTCATACTTAAGCAAAGACCCCAAATCAAAGTTTGCAGTTTTATTATTACAACTTTCATAAAAAATATCTTTTATATCATATGTGACTCAGAAAATTCCTGATATCCCCCTATCAGGCTAAAGAAACAAGAAAATGAAATAGTTCAGTGATTATACTTTTAAGTATTAGGGCCTTTGGAGCCCCAGATATTTTATATGTAGGCCTAGACCACTGTGCTCCTGTTCATTTGCTTTATTAAGATTCTGGCCTAAAGGCACACATTTTAATATAAACCACAGGACTTTTTTGTTTTGTTTCATTTTCAATTCCAAGACCAGGTAAAAAGACAGGGCATCCCTATCTAAAAAATTGAAGCATGGTGGCTCAGGGTTAGGACCACTTCTTGGTGACACTGACATGATTAAGCTGGTCTTAACAAATCTATGCTGGGAAAACTCAGAAGTGCTGGCCACCTTGAGGACCTCAAAAGACTGTGCCTTGAGCACCTGGGTGTGGCCATGCTCTTGCTCTGTGGTCTCCTCAGGCATGCTCAGCCAGTCATCTCCAGATCACAGATCATCATACTCTGTTTCTTAGTCAAAGAGACCACCCCAGTCACCGGTGCTTCCTTATCTACTCCTGTTGGGAATGCAATGACTCTACAATACACACCTCATTCCTCAAGATCACCTATTGGAATTCACATTATTTTTCTCAAGCCTTCAACTCCAGTGAACTCCATCTCATGCCTACCACCCTTCTCATTTTTAAAAATCTGTCTTACTTTTGAATTTGTTATATGTTATTTGTTATTTGTTATATGTTGTTTTTTGGTGTATGTAAACACTTTGCAAATTTAACATATCAAAATAGAAGGATATATTACTCTTCATTCATTATTTTAAACAAATACTTCTTACATGCTTCACAATTGTTCTAGACAATGCAGATTCAAAGAATATGACAGATAAGGGCATCTACACCCACCGTGATGAGTTCTGAGGGAAGATGGCTGCATCTCCAGCAATGTGAGAAGTGTCCGAAGATGAAGTAAGAGAGACAGGCAGGGCCAGACTGTGTTGGAATTTGAAACTATGAGCTAGATGATTTCTCTTGTTCCTCCTCTACCTCCTTCTCTTTCTCCATCCATCAACAGTATGGATTTTTTTTAATTTTTTATTCATCTTAATTAGTTATACATGACAGTAGGATGCATTTATGCATTTTGACATATCATACGTAGATGGGATATGATTTCCACTTTTCTGAGTGTACATGTTGCAGAATCCCATTGGTCATGCAGTCACATGTACACATAAAGTAATAATATCTATTTCATTCTACCATCTTTCCTATCCCCACATCCTCTCCCCTCCCCTCCTATTACTTCCCTCTACCTAATTTAAGGTAATGCTAATTTTAAGTCAGGGGATGATCATTCACTTTTATGTAGAGAAAGGATTGTAGGATGGCAAAAGAAGAAACAGAAAGGATGTGCAGAAGCTCAAGCATACAATGGTGTCTTGGGCCAGGATAATAGTAATGAACCTTGGGAAATTATTTCACATGCTTATGTGTGAGTTCTACTATATTAAAATCACCACACATAGGTGCTATGTCTAACCCATGAAATATTTCACAGGTAAAAGCACATAGCAGATGTTCCTCATGTATCTGTTAGCAAAGATTGGACTTAATTTTACGTCTGCTTCATTTTTTAAAATATGATAGAAAACTCATGGTATATAGTGCCTGAATTGACCATTCTTTTTGCTAAGTATTTCTCTTCATCACCATGATGGATACCTGCACAATTTATTTGTTCAACTTTTCAGGCAATGATAGTCAGTCAAGACAGAACCCATCTACTAAATTGAACCTTACTAACATTTTTCAATTTTTTGATGTGCCCTCAATATATGTCAATATTTTAAGAGGTTTTGATGAGAAAATCTTAAGGCAATGTAAGATAGCTGAACATTTTTTTCTTTCTGCAAATGTATTTCTTTTTAGCTCACCATGTTTGCTTGTATATCCAAATACCATGGTAATGTTTCAAATTATTATTTAGTCTTCAATGTATAGTTTTTGAGTAGGATGTGCCAATGATTCAAAAATCTATGTATGGAAATATAACTGCTGCTTATGAAGGCTGCTAAATTTCAAGACTGTGCTTGGGTGTATAATTCATTTTTCTATATATAACTGTAACTTGACTATTTGCTTAATTTTCCCAACTAACTTTTTTAAAAAGATTAAATGCTTATAAGTGCAACAGAGAAGTGAGGTGACCCAAATATATGTGATCTGCTCCTTATAGATCAATTATATAATGATTAGAAAGCCTAGACTCTTAGGTTTCCAGTGAAGAACTCTTTTGAGAAAATATCATTAAGGTAGATAAAATAAAGTAATAAATACAAAATCACTTTTAAAAACTTTTAAAAAATGCTATGCATATTCCACAGTCATTTTATTTAATAAACCAGAACAGTTTCATTTTATTCCTTATTCAAAATAGTTCCAAGTCCATGATTTTGAATCCTTTGGAATGGGTGACTAAAAGCCAAAATTCGTTTCACCAACAAGAAAGCCTTTTACTGACTTGTTTTAATTTGTAGAAGAAACTATGCAGAAGAGTCTCCTTCAATATAATGGGGAAAGCAGTGATGTCTACTGCTCTGGTACCATTTGAAAAAAATGCCTTTCTAACCAAGTGGTTCATAGACAAAAACTATGCCAAGTCTGGAATTATGGACCCATCAGGATCAAATCACAGTTTTGCAGACTTTTAGAGGTGTATAGAGTATTAGAAACCATGTAGTACAATTCCTACATTTGTTATGAGAATAGCAAAAACCAAGTGAGGATCTGCAAGGAGAAAATAATGGGCACTTGAGACGGATCTTTGCATTGTAAGCTTTGTTGACCAGCTTGCCAGAACCCTTCTGTGGCAGTACTAAGATTCAAACTCAGGTCATCTTGAACCAAGGCCAGTAGTTCTCATTTGCATCTTGTGTGTGTTTACTTTATTGAAGTCATTCATTCCATGAACTAACCTGCAGAAAATAAAAGAAAAATACTTCTATGAACTTAGCATGTTTCAGGAACTATTCTACATCTATTGAAGTATTTAATCATCCCCACAATCCTGCTAAATACATACCATTATCATTTCTCTTTCACAGATAAAATATGATAGAGTACTTTGGTCAGGAATCAAAATCAGAGAGCTACTAAGTGGTACAGAATAGGTATGAATTCATGAACTATAGCGATTAAACACTTGACCATTACTTTATTTGTGACTATCTAAAGTAGTTAACTTAAAAGCATAATAAAACTTAGAAAGTCCAATGTGTTCTTAAAAATAAGTGGTATATAGAATTCTGATAATGACTGTTTCTTAGTTTAGAAACAATAAAATGCATTTCAGCTTTAGAATTTCAACATGACTTTAAAGAAGAGGCTTGAAGATAGTTGGTTAATTTGGGGAACATATTTCCTAATAAAAATATTCATAAGAAGGACTCTGAATCTGTTTTAATCTTGCCTAAATTCCTAGTTATCAGTAATAGAGAACTTGGAACATGATAGGAATTTAATAAAATGCATGAAAAAAATTTATGTGAAAATTAATGAATGATTGAATTGCAAATACAATTTATGCTTAAGAAATGCTAAAGATTTTTATTAAGGAGAATCTGGTGAATTGAAACGATTCATGTAGTTGACCCAAATGTTACTAGTCTCCAAGATATACTCTATATAATAAGCTTATTATAAGACTCCCCCTTAATGGGATGATGGAATTCCTAATGCTGAAAGGTAAATTCTGATGGTCCTAAAAGGATTATATGTATGTGTAAGTAAGTTTATAGATAATTTTTATTAACTTTTTATAAGTAATACAGGAGTTGAATTATATTTCTAAAATATGAAACACCAGCAATACTTATTACAAGATAATGGTAGTTTTTTAAAATCAGATTTGACTATCAATACAGTTGCTGTTATTTTTCTTCCTTTAACAATCAGTTTCCTATCTTTGTAATCAAGAAGATTTAATTATGGAAGATCAATTTATTCTGTTTAGAAATATTTGCCAGCAAAATGTGAATATAAACAAGGTAATTCTTTTTGTTTTCTCCCTCCCCCTCTTTCTCCTCACCTTCTTCCCTTTTCTTTCCTCCTCCTCCTCCTCCTCCTCCTCCTCCTCTTTTTCCACTTTTTTTTCTCCTTCTTCTTAGGTTATTTGTTGAGCACATTGGTAACATGGGGCAAATAAATATATGCTAATTTCATTTTTAAAATTTATTCTATGTTCCTCTTCCCAGATATTTAAAATGTATTACTGACCAGAAATTGCCTACTTAATAATTTGCTTATATACATATTTAAGTATTACAAGAATATAATTGGCAAGTAGATGCATTATATGGAGAATTTCTGTGCTACAAGAAATTCAAATTGGAGCAAAGTGAATTCCATACATTTGTGTTAGTGTCAGGGTATATCCTGGTGTTGTATATAACTAAAAAGAATAAATTTAAAAAGAATAAATTTAAAAATTTAAAAAAAGAAAGAAAGAAAGAAACCCAAAATATAAGACAATTTCACTGACAGATGTATTATTTATCATCTTAATTAGCTATTTTAAAAATAAAACAGAGTCTCAACAGATCTTTTATTTCACATTGAATTCAATCATGTGATTCAAAATGAAATAGGGAAAATTTTATATTCAGCTTCATATTTCTCAAATATTGGATTACTCTCTGTGTTGTAGGTAACATTTTAAAGATAAAAATCTGCATTGCCTGGTAATTCAAGGTGGTATCCCAGTAAATAACAAGGAGACCTGCTTCTGCTTAGCTGTACCCAGCTGGAGAAGAGTGTACTGATTCACCACAATACAGTGTGCACAGCCACTGGGGGATATTGGAAAATCTGGTGGATATTTTGATTAGTTAAAAAAATATTATTTGCTTTTGGAATAATAATGAAATATTTTACCTTCAAAAGATGGCAATTGTTTCAGGTTTCCAAGCAACTGTTAAAACCAAATATAAATTATTCCTTATATTGAGGACAGGTATTAGAAGAATGACTTGGAGTCCTTTTGCTGGGCACAGTGACACACACTTGTAACCCTAGGTACTTGGGAATCTGATGAAGGAGGACTGCAATTTGAAGGCCCGTCTGGGCAACTTAGCAAGGCATTGTGTCAAAATAAAAGATAAAAAGGGCTGGGGATGTAGCTCAGTGGTGCAGTGCCCTTGAGTTCAGTCCTCAGTACTGGAAAAAAGAAGGAGGAGGAAAGGAAGGTCAGGAGGGAGAGGAAAAAAAAAAAGTCCTTTCTAATCTAAGAGTCTGTAATTTTATGTTTATAACCCAGTTGGAAAAATAAGACTAAAGCAAGGCTAATTATGAATGTTGATTATAATTAATTGCTAAATGAATGGCATGAGGAAAAGAAGAAACATGAGGTTTAATAAAACTTGTTTACATCAAATTCATTTTAACAGAATTTTGAAAATTCTTACTGGGTAAGAACCATATTTACAGGCAAGTTCTCTGCTTCTGGTTGTATTTATATAAAATTGAATAAATTGAAATATAATGTATTTTCTAATCCATAAACACTGCTGATTAGTAAATTATCAGTTTGATCACAATACAATCTATCAAGTTACCGAACTGAATAATATTAACTAAAAGAATACTTTTTGTTGTTGCTGAAAAGTATCCTATCCTGGGCAGCTGGATTGAACGCAAGGTTGTTAACTTCCAAATAGCAGGCAATATTAGATGTCTTTCAATACTAATTGACCTATTTCTATCATGGTATATTTCTAACCTCAGTTTTTAAAGATCACATTCAGAGAACCGAGTTTTACAAATATTCAAAGAGCAATTTTTCCATGTTGTTACTTGCTTCCTTTATTGGTCATTGGTATTTTCTCCAATAATGTAAATTGATTCAAATCCCTGAAGAGTATAAGGTACAAGTATCTGAAAAACTGGAAAAAAAAAAAAAAAACAAAACAAAACAGTTTTGCTATGATGTTGTTTTGGCAAAGCTTCTAATGTACCTCAACTTATATTTTGTATACTATTGCATTAAATCAAATAATAACCATATATATACTGCTCACCTTGTGATCTATCCATCTGCTTTTGCCTTCCTTCCCTCCATCCAACTTTGTAAATTCTGGTACCATGATAAAACTGGTTGCCAAAGTTTTTGGTTATCAAAAATTCCAGTGTAATCATTAAGCTATCCTAGGAAGCAGTATGTGACAGAATTGGGAAAATAATTCTACTGTGAAACCTAAAGACTGACTATTAATTGAAAACACTGTCATGTCATGATCTAGCAAGCTTTGGCATCAGTGACGGCCCAGTGCTAGTGAAGGCCCATTCCTGATAAATCCCCTATTTAAGAGTTCCCCTCCCTTGATCTTCTTGGTTCCACATCAGAGCTCCAGCATCTCCCATCTTGGAGAAAAGTTCTGGATCCAGAACTCATTATTAGGTCCATCTATCTTCTCTGCTTTCCAACAATTTTTTTTCTGTATTTGTTTGTTTTCTTCTCTGCCAGTGGATCTGTCTACCTGTGTTTATTTTTTGTTTGGCAATTTAGCTAAAATAATAATAATAACAACAACAACAACAACAATCAGAAAAAATGCCTGTGATGCTCTGTGAACAAGAGTTGTAGGCAGTTACAGGCAAACTTTTAAATGAGGTATGTCACACCAAGATTTACTCAGATAGCCTGGATGATAAAGTAGGACTGAAGAGACTTCAGGAAGATTGTAGTAGCAGCATTTCACTTTTATAAAAATTTTTGTTTCTTATAGAGCCTTTACTAGGAATTAATTCAGAACCTTTGCATATGCTCTGAGCTGAAGGCCCTTTGAACCTTTACTTAACTCTTTTGGTCAGGGTTTACTTTTCCTATTTTTGGAAAATACTTTTCTCGTCTCCAGGAAACACTTGTGATATGAATCTTATTTTAAAAAAAATTGAATTTCACAACAATTTCTTTTCTTGTTCTATGGTACAGGAAACACCATCCATGTTTCAGAGAAGCACCTGCAACAATGGTAGAAAGGTCAACCTTGTCTTTCTGGTGGCCTCTTTCAAGGGGCCCTTGATAGCATTCATAAATATATGCTTGTAGGTGGCACCATTTTTTTTTGAAGGGATCGGGTACTGGGGATTGAACTCAGGGGCTCTTGACCACTGAGCCACATCCCCAGCCCTATTTGTATTTTATTTAGAGACAGAGTCTCACTGAGTTGCTTAGCTCCTCACTTTTGCTGAGGCTGGCTTTGAACTCGCCATCCTTCTGCCTCAGCCCTCCCAAGCTGATGGGATTACTGACCTGAGCCACGGTGCCCAGCTGATGGCATCATTTTATTTTACAGAAATTTCTGCCCTAAGTATCACTGAGTTGGAACCTTACATAAATAGAAAAAAATTGAACATCCTTCATGTCATTAGGAGTAAGTCACTTTGCACAGGCTCTCAGAGCTCATGAAAGATGTCTGCTGGCCAGTTCATCCCAGCGTCTGCGTGCACCCCATTAGCTATGCCGTAAGGAATGCCACTTGCTCTTTGTGTTCTGTGAGGCAGAACAATAGGGCACTCTCCTCTGGAAGAGCTGCTGATTCCTTCTAAGTTCAGTCAGAGCCCACATTTTTCCCCTCTGAATAATGTATGAGTTTGGCTCACCCATGTGCTGCTAATCTAGCAAGGAGGAAACTTCAACAGCTTCGGCCTTCTTGTCAGATATCACTGAAAAAAAACTGGTTCAAACAGGAAGACCTTGGGATCCATCAAATTATGTTTGGCAGAGGGTTGAGATGAAGAGGTAGGAATGGGAGAAAGCAGAGCATGCATGGGCATGCACACAGCATCCCATCCAACTCTTCTTACCTCATGGGCTCACACTACAAAGAAAGTTCCTTGGAGCTGCAGTGGTGGACGTTCTGTTGAAGAAGTTCCTCCTCCATTGTCTCTTAATGGAATTTAGGGCCCAGTCGTGATC